GTGACATTTCATTTCTTCTTCTTCATTTATCATCCGAGTGATGTAATTGCCTTGTGCCTGTTTACAGCCTAGCTGCAACATTTGCATCTTTTGGTCGACACATCTGACTTCAGCAAGCATTGGCTCATTGGGTTAGCCTTACCAGCTGGTGACATTTAACTCTTTGAGTCCCAAAGAATGCATCATACGTTCATAGGTTATTGCCTGGAAGCCCAATGAACGCATGATGCGCTGATTTTATGTCACTCTTGACTACCCCTTGGGCCTTTGATGCTAAACCCTCTGGGACAAAAAGTTAATTTGATAACAACTAAAGTATGTGTGTGTGTGTGTGTGTGTGTGTGTGTGTGTGTGTGTGTGTGTGTGTGTGTGTGTGTGTGTTCATGCTTGAATTTTCCTATGCACTTTCCTGAAAATATAACTAATTGAACTTATACTCTGAGCACCATGAGAATTGAATATAGTTTTAATAAGTAAATGAGAAATAGAAATATTTAATAATTATTAAAAAAATTTATATATATATATATATATATATATATATATATATATATATATATATATATATATATATATATATATATATATATATATATATATATATATATATATATATATATATATATATATATATATATATATAAGTAGTGTGTGTTAGTGAGAGGCTCCATAGTCTATACATGTCACTGTATTTTTCTGAATCTGCAGAAGCAAGCAGTTAGTGACTAGGGGTAATATGTCTGGCTGTGTTAATCAGGAAAAAAAAAATTGTTAATGCAGATTTCAGCATGGTTAACTCAAAACTAAAATATGTACCAGCATAAATTTGCAGGCATGAGGTTGACCCCATTATCTACCGAGTCCCCAATGTCTATAAAAATTCACTCCAGTACCATATGCCAAGAGTGGAAATGGCATGAAAGAAGTCCTTTACAAATTATATATGGTTTCTGGCAAAGATTTCATGGTTTGGGGGGAAACATTTCATGGTTTGGAGGGAAACATTTAATCGATTGTGGCAAATATTTCAGTTTTGTTGGGAGAAAAACACTCATCAGAACCATCTTAACCAGTTGGCCAAAAGAAAATGGCACTGACTACAGTCAACGTTTCATAATTTGAGTAAATGTTTCACAGTCTTCTTCTTTTTCTTCTTTTCCACCTTGTGCCTCATCGAAATGTCAGGGGGAGATGTAACATTCGTTGATGAGCTCTATCAAGAGCACTATTGAGACTCATGTTCATTTCTGTAAAGCTGTTCTCAATGCCATCACTTCATCTTTTCCTAGGTCTTCCGCTCGCTCCATACCTGTTGTAACATTTCAGTGTGGATCGCTTTCGTAGACAGTAAAGGGGGAGATAGTTGCCCCATTACTTGATTAGCTTTGGCATATCTCAAGCTAATTTCTCTGTCTAGTTTTTCATCGAAAGTGAAAATTTCTCTCAAGTACTTGAATTCCTCTTTTTGTCTTAAGGCGTTTTTTAATTTCAATCCTAATTTGTATTTATGTCTTCCTATCACGATTGTCTCTGTCTTCGTAGTGTTTATTTTCATATTACGTTCCTCCCCTTTTTTTTAATTAATTTGATTTAGGTGGTTCTGTAGTCATTCCGTATTTTCTGCTATGAGTACCTGGTCATTAGCGAATAGTAATTCTGTAATATCTTCTTCATGATTAAAGTTTGTTTCCTCACATTTAGTATCCATGTATGTTATAAAAAGAAGTGGCGACAGTACACCCCCCTGACGCACACCAGAGTTTGCTACGAAAATTCTTGACAATCCTGCCTTTGATCTTACGCAGCATTTACTGCGTGTGTACAGACTTTTGCAAAACTTAATGAGATAATTTGAGTCAACGTTTCAACCAATCCTCACCTCAACAATAATTACAACAAATGTTTTTTTTAAACTGTGCCTCTCTCTCTCTTCGTCTGTCTCTCTCGCTCTCAATCCTTTACACATTCTTAATATCTAGTAGCTTTCTCTATCTGACTAAATCATTCCCTCTTTATCTAATCTCACTTTCTAAATAAATAAATCTCTATCTAGTGGCTCTCTCTAAATCACTCACTCATTCTTTTATCTAGGTGCTCTCTCAAAATTACAGTCTTTTCATTTACTGGCTCTCTAAATCATTCACACAGACTCTCTCTTTTTTTTATCTAGAGGATTCTTTAAATTTCTCTCTATCTGGCTTTCTAAATCATTCACACAGACTCTCTCTTTTAATCTAGAGGATTCTTTAAATTTCTCTCTATCTGGCTCTCTAAATCATTCAAAATCTTTACTGTCATGTTTACCTCACATTAACAGAAAAAGAGAATTGTTTTTATCACTTTAAAAATAACTCCTTAACTTAGCCCCCTTAACACAATGTTTCTCCCAAAAACTCACTCTCTATGCCTGTCTATATATGAATAAATTCATCAGTCTATCTATGTAACTAACTACAGTCGATATAACTGTCGTTCTGTTTATTCATCCGCCCATTTACCTTAGAGTAAAATAATAGTGTAAACCAGTTTTCAAATGACCAACTGTTAACTACAATCTACAATTCTGGCTACAAAAAATGTCTCCCAGTGCTTTCTCCCTCCCCTCCCCCCTACCCCGCCTTTTTTTTCTCCAGCTCTATAGATTTCTCCTCTAAAAAAAAAAAAAAAAAAATGGTGTTAAGACTGCAAGAATCTAATTGTATTGTTCTGAAAACACCCCATCACACCTACAGCAGATGTTTCTCCTAGTGCTAAGTGTTTCTGCACTATCTTTCAAGTACCCACAAGTGCAGCTGTTCACATGTCTACTGCTAAAAATATATTTTGCACACCAACTGAAGCGAAGCAAGTCATGGAGTTGATGCTTCATTGACAGGGTTGCTGGCAACAGTTATGAGGAAAGTTGGCTAGATGTTCATGGCTTATCGCTTTATAACTTTCTCTTTTTTGTTGTTGTTGCTTTTTCTTTCCTTCACTATCACTTATTTGCACAAGCACATGTACATGGGGACTGAGACAGACAGAAACAAGCGGACAAAAGACAAAGAGAATGTTGGACAGAGATACAGACAGACAGAAACAAGTAAATAAAAGATATAGAGAAAGACAGGCAGAGATTTTTTAAAAGAAAGACTAAGTGAGCAAAGAAAAGGTGGACGAAGATAGACAAAGAGAAGGTGGGAGAAAATAGACAAAGAGAAACCACGAGACAAAAGACAAAGTGAAAGATGGACAGAGATAAAGACAGACAGATAGAAACAAGCATTCAAAAGGCAAGGAGAAAGATATACAGATAAAAAGGTAGACAGACAGAAATAAGCAGACAAAGAACAAAGAGAAACAAGGGCAGAGGTAAAGACAGACAGACAGAAACAAGCAGACCAAAGATGAAAAGAACAACTGATAGAAACAAGCCAACAAAAGAAAAAAAGGAAGACAGACAAGAAGACAAAGATGGACATAGATAAAAATGGAACAGACAGGCATAGAAAGACAAACAATAAAGAGAATGTAGCAGACAGAAAAGAGGCATTAAGTGACAAGAGATACAGAGTGAAAGAAAGAGAGACTGGACAGAGGGACAGCCAGAAAAAAAGACAAGGGGTCAAACAGGCAAGATCTTGGCCCTAGGACTGACCCAGCCTAAAATGGGAAAAAGGCAATATCCAGGGAAGTAAAAGTGGCTGGTGTGATGCTGACCACATCACTCATCAAGTGTCGATTGATCTATACAAAATATGGGCCCAGCATCATATGCCTGATACACCACTGGTATTTTCAAAAAAGAAGGTCCATTTTGTGTGTGTTAACTTTACTCCTATAACTAAACATATTATTGTACTTTTCCTCTTCTTGATCAATATTGTACTTGGAATTTTTCTGTAAAATGTAGCTTCTAAGCTGTTATTTTCTTCATTAGTATTGTGGAATAACCATTAATCAGGTTTGTCTGTGGTCACAAGAAAACTGTGTTTCTAAAATATTTTAGTTTTATTAGTATGCTTTCAACATCTTTTTAACAGTCTCTGCTATTTCTAAATATGGAGTCAAGCTTTCCAAAGTCTGTGGCAATTTCCCCTTTCTTCACTGCTGATTGCATTTGTTTGACTGATTTGACTGATCTGTGGTATATAATTACTAAAATAATATTTCAGACCATTCTTGTGGATTTCAGATAGTAGTACGCGAGTTGCACCGTGGAAGAGAGTGGGGTTTACCATGTAATAATCCCAAAGACAGCAGTGGATTCACATATTCACTGCATGAAACCTACAAGGCAGAGATGGCACCCACCAACAAAAATTTAAATTACCACTAGGACGATAAAATAATAACACAGAGATATCTCGACACAGACATAGCCATCTATCACTTATATGTAAAGATTACAATATTTCCCCACGTACAAGACACCCTTATTTTCCAAAAATATTGTGTCTAAAAACAGTGTACTTCTTATACAGTGGTAGTAGATGTTTATGTAATCATATTAGTTGTGTTTCTCAAATTTCCAGTCCAAAAATTAAGGTGCGTATCAAACAAGAGATCGTCTTCCACCTGGGGGAATAAGGTACACCAACAAAACTGGACAAAACTAAGTGAATAATAAAAGATAAGCAACAGGTTACTTCTAGCATAAACTAAATTATCCCTCTGCCACGACAAGCATTTAAAAATGATTTTATTTATGGACACCATCTTCCCAAGCGTGACATAAGCAAATTTAAAAAAACATAAATCAGGGGCAACAGACATGGCAATTTATCCTTCAGGTGCGATAAAAAATTTGTTATGGAACTATTAAATTAATAATAAAAGACAAGAAGCAGGTTACCCATAGAGGCAACTAAGTTGAGACCCCATCACCATTTCTACCATAAGCATTTAATTTGAAAAAAAAAGGGGCAAGATTTAAGGGCAACAAGGCCCCAAGCATGAAAGAAAATTAGCATGTAAATTATTTAGCAAAGTACTCTATGGTGAGTTTATTTGTTACTTACAGCCCATAATGACTTTTTCTCCACAACTGGACACTTTTGAAAACAAAAATGTGCAATGTAAAAACAGAAAAACAAAGAAAACAAAAGGAAGGGGCCAAGAGACAGAAAAAATAAATAAAATACACATAAGAGCAGAACTTATAAAAGATGCAAGAGAGAAAGAAATTAATTCATATTTTAAAAGTAGTGAAAGAGGATTGTTCTATAGAAATTAAAATTTGTGTATGATAACAAACAAACAAAAAGTAAAGCGACAAATCAGGGATAATACATCATGGAACATTATTTTTACAAGCACAAGTTTTTAAACAGATTAATACAGTTAATTAAATGAGAAATGTATTTTGCTAATAAGCCAAATGTGCAATGAAACCCTAGAACAAAACCATGGAACAGAATCAAAGAGAAAAACCCAAAAAAATATCCAAGAACTAAAGAAACAAACAACTCAAACTGCAAGATAATCACAATAATTGGTATATGATGGTAAGTTTTGCTTGACCAAAGAATAAAGACCACTTGCTCAGGCAGTTGCCACATAAGCTAAATTTATTTTTTCTCACCCCAAACAAATATAAATTTCTTACCTTAGCAAGAATTAGAACCTGAGTCCCATAGTATGTCTGTGTATTACATACAACACAACGGAACATGTCTCTTCTTTAAATAAGTAGCATTTGTCATACTTGACAATATATGAAAGTAAAAGGGACTTAGTTTAAAGACAAAACTCAGAATATACAAGAGCAACATATAAGGGATACTATTATACAACAGTGAGTGTTGGGAAATGACTGCGGGAATTAAACATAGAGATTTTCCAAAATAAATGTCCATAGAGAATCCTACAGACGGAATGAGCTCCAGAAGAGGTGGACAATTCATAGAGATATGTTGAATTTAGAACCAGGTTGAACGGATGTCCCTTAGTGCAAATATGGCTGGCATACAATATCACAACATCTATTTTGAGAATGGAGACAGATACTGTCACAGCAGTCTTCTGCTTGCTTGAGAACCAGCAGCACTTATATGTCATGTTTGTAACTGACTCAAAAAACATGTCAAGAAAGGTAGTGACTTCGTGCAGAGTGGCAAGCATTAATTTACCAAGTCCTGTGTTGTTAGCTCCTTCAGATATTTTCTCCAGGTTGTTCAGGTGTATTAAAAAATTAACAGGCAGACAGACTGGCTGGTTCTGCACAACATGGTAGTAAACTGATGCACAACAAGCCAGAAGTTGTCAAGACCCTTTAGGAGCAAGTGAACAGTGAGGAGACACAAACAGATCATCACAGTCTGAAGAGAATGTTGCAGCAGCGAGTGAACAGGGGATGTGGGCCGACACTCAACACCCACAGCAAAGGCTAAAAGGACATGCAATCAGACAGCATCCAAATGTTTAACTATGTGCTGGCTGCTCAAGATGATGATGGAGCCCTTATGGCAATGTCCTGAGTGCTGTGATGTCAGTTCTTAACTCAGTTCAACTCAACCTAATATCAGGCTTTTGAAGGTGTTGTGGTTAATAAAAGAGCAGGCAGACTGACATGCATTGCTCTATATTAGAAGGTCAACCCATGGATTAATTCGGCATCAAATAAACCCTTAGAATTAGTTTAAAATAAGGACTTGAGGCTGAAAGAAACAAAATCAACAGTTGACATGCAAACATTCAGACTGAAGATCAGAGTGGACAGATAAGAGCAGCCCACCAAGCAATGAAGCTGGCCACTTAACATCAAACTGACAAAAACAGAGGTGACCGCAGTCAATGTGATTTCAAGAGATTAATCCACTGAACTGTCATTAAGAAGCTTAAAAAGGAGGAGAACAGAAAACGCACACATGTGCAGATGCACATACACATACAAACTTGGATGTGTTGGCAGAATCCTTCATTAAAAAAACAACTCACCTGGTGTCCATGATTCTCCTACATTCTGTTGTAATGTCTGTCAATACAGGCTTACTTCTATGTCTACCACCCATCATACATCAAGCTTCTTAGTGACACTTCAGTGGATTAATTTCTGAACACTAATCTGGCACAGTTATTTATTGCAAGGCAAAGATAGTTCCACAGAAGTTACAGCCAGTGGAGTCTGAAATGTTAGATCTTCATATATTCTAGGTCACAACATACAAAGTGGGGTGGACAGTTCTCTTTCATGTCATCTTTCATTCCCAGACAAATGTTAAAGGATTGACACCCATTTTTACAAAGTCTGGGGAGTGATCCCAGAGCCACACTAGTCAGCAACAAAATATGCTACTGCTGAGGCTTGAGCTCAGACCAGTTTGGCAGGCAAGCGCACTAACCACTTGCCACCATTACAGTACACTGACTGATTTATTATAGAAGAGATGAAGCACCATGGACATGTCCAAAGTGCTATGATGATAATGGAAATTGTATTCCAAAGTGCTATGATAATCCACATTGCCTTGGCACTAACCTTCTAGTCACTGCAACTGAAAGATTTATTATAGATGAGACGGAGCACCTATGGAAATGTCCAAAAGCAAAAATAATAATCAACACTGAACTTAACTGAACACCTGACTAACAAACAAAGGGTGTACAGAAAAGCAGAGGAAGTACACTATGATAAAAAAATCAACATAACCCTGTGCTTCAAAGGAAGAAAAGCAATAGCAACAATGTAAGATGGTCAACTAGGTAAGATGAATAAAGACCTTACTTCTTGCTGCTCTCCCTCAAAATGCTTCTGCAGGTGTTCTTTGTGCTGCAGCTGTCTGTCCATTCTCCTCCATTTAGCATTCTCCCGATATTTGGATCTGTTAGGCATTTGGAAAACCAATTAACGGGCTATCAAACACTAGGAAAACATTCTTCTTCAGCAATCCAAGTCCTTATAGTTCACTGCTGCAGGTATCACCAACCTCTGTTCATCTCTGTGACAGGCCTTCTCTTTCCACTTGGTGACCCGAAGTGTGTTTAGGTCTGCTCTACTTGGATATTATCTCTCCATCATCTTCTTGGTCTGCCTCATTGTCTAGGGCCATTCAATACCTTTGTAAACGCAGTTTTTTTTTTTTTTAGGTCATCTGTCATTCTCTCTATATGCCCCAGCCACTGAGGTCTATTAGCCCTCATGATGTGTGATCAATGGTTATTTAAACAGATTATGAATTTCATTGTTGCTGGTACTCTATTTCTGTCGAGGGCCAAATAAAACATCCTAAACTGCACAGTCCATGGGGGCAGCACTAGCCAAGCGGCCATAAATCCTCAGGCTGATGAACACCTTGTCTACACCACCCTAAAAATCGGTAAGCACAGACGGCAGTGACAGTTTTTATGACTTGCTTGTTAAGGAGCAGTAGATCTAAAAAAAAAAAAAAAATGGGGCTCAAGAATCCACAAGGGAAGACACAAATAAAACCACTAAAACTAATCTCCACCCCATACCATCAGCATGTTCCATGCCAGTAAATGTAAGCGGCCCAGCAAGTGTCAACTCACAGGATCATCACATTCACAGATCAAATCTGTGTTTCTGCTCCACCCATGTGGCCAAGCTGTCCATGTATTCATTTCTGGTTTTCCTCTGTTCTTTTTTTCGCCCTCTCAAGCTTGCCAGATGTCATCAAGTTTTCAGGTAAACTCTTCCTATAACATGTCCAAACTATTTCACAAACTTGTGGACCTCACGTCTGCTACGACCACTTCCATTTCCAAGCTCATAATTAAGGCTGTCAATCTACAGGAAATAGGACAGACTGAACACACAACATATAGTTAGTCATGGGTTAAAAGCTATGCATTTATCCTCCAATCTTACTTTGAATTTGCAGGTTCTGAGTTCAACAGCTCCTTGCTCAAGAGAGGAAACACCCCACCCACATACTGGCTAGGCGATGTGTGACTAGCAATCTCGTGTGGCTTGCTGGCTATAAAATTGATGTTTTTGGCTCTCTTCTCAATGAACTGATCTAAATCGCCAGAAAATAATAACATTAATAATAATAATAATAATAATAATACAAAGTCAGTCTAAAAAAATTATTTTTTAAATGATTGTTTTGGTTTATAGCAGGCTTCTTTTGTTGGTATTGGGTTGACACCACCTTCTTCTTCTCCTCCTCCTTATTCATCATCATCCTCTTCTTCTTCTTCCTCTTTTGCATTTGGCCTCATAATAGTGGTTAACATGTTGTATTAGTGGCCTTTATGACATACTTGTCAAGCAGCACTGGGTATGTTCTTATCCCCCCAGAACCCATACAGGGAAATTGAGAGGTCTAAGACCTGTAAAGGGAATGTTACCAACCTAGGCTAATCTGTGTATGCAGTGCTGAATCACAGTCTGATTATATCCTTCTCTGCTTTTCTGCAGACGCAGTTAAACAAAGCCATAATTAGAAAGGTCAACAGAGAGAAAGCAAAAGATGTATTGATGGACACAACAATAAACAAGATAAAACAAGTGACAAAGTAATCACAGAACTAATCTTGACATCAGCTTAACTGCAGTCACTCCTGTTTAGCTCATCACTTTCTGCAAACATCTTAGAAACTGAAACACTTTGGCCCCTTTCCAAAGGTTAGCGTTATATTGTGCTATAGAGCAGTAGGGGAATCATAGCCCATGACAAGTGCGACCCAGCAGCACTCGCCTGCATACCCAAAAAAAATTAAAAACATTTTCTGTGATCAGATCAAAGGCCTGAAGCAGCACTGCTGACTCCTCTCCACGGCACAAGCCTGGGCGGTCTTGTAGAGACCATGTGTTGCCCAAGCAGAATGACCCCTCCTCCTGTCTTCCTTGTTAATTCCAAAAGAAAGGTAACACCAATAAGTTTGGAACAAAGCATGCTATAGAAACTGCTGGATAAGAGAAGCCTGTAGTTGTGCAACAGCTGAAGGGTTATATTTACCAATAAATTGAGATACAGTCTAGCCCTATACGCCTAATACTCCTGAAGGTGTGCAACAGTACTTTCATTTACCTATATACTGAGTATCACTCTATATTTACCTACAAACTGTGAATTGTTGCACTATGTTTACTATGGGTTACAGTCTTACGTTTAAACTGTCAGGTGTTAAATTTACCTATAAACTATGAGTTGTAATACTGTAATTACATATAAACAATGAGTGCAGTTCTATATTTCTTTATAAACTATGAGTGCAACATCGCCTCACCACAGATAGAGATAAAAAAAAAAAGGGGCGAATAAGGGATGTATTTATCGGCAAACCTTTTCAAAATATACAGAAAACATTTTTAAACAAGTTGGAGAATTTCATGGACTGCATATCAATGAAAAAAATATATATATAAGGTATACCGACGACAAAGTGCTAATAGCAGAAAGTGAGCAGGAGTTACAGGACTTAGTGGAAATCAACCGTCAGGGTGCCAGTATGGTTTAGATATTAACATTCAAACAGCAAATACTTTGATAATTTGCAAAAGAAAGGAATGACCAAAAGTGAAAATGACAGTATAAGGAGATATATTAGAACAGGTAACAAGCTGCTCTATTATAAGCACATAATAAAAGATGGTGGTAGAAGTAAAACAGAAATAAAAACAGAGAATAGGAGTGGCTGAAACTATCTTCAATAGGATACAAAAATTATCAACAGCTAGAGAGATAAACAACATATTGAAAATTAGAATCATCAAATGTTATGCATACTCAGCCCTGCTGTATGGTTCAGAAACCTGGAAAATGAACAAGAAAATATAAGATTCAGGAAATGTTGATATACAGAAGAATAGGTTGATTCATGGAAACAAAAACAATCAGAGGTTCTGGACGGACTGCAAACAAAGAAAAGTTGGAAAAAAAAAAAAAAAGAGACGAATGAAATATTTTGGCCTAATTAACAGATATAACACACTCTTAAAAAAAATATTATAGGGAAAAGTCAAAGGCAAGAGAGCAAGAGGTAGACAGCGATACAAGTGGGATGACAACATCAAGAGATGGAGGAACAGTTGTCTGAGAGAATGTACTACAAGGACATAAGACAGAGACTCTTGGAGACTACTTAAGGTAATCTAGGATGTGGCGAATTTCTGATGTGAAGAATTTTTGTTTATTCCTGACAGTTTTTCTTCCTTCAGCTTTTATCTGGATTAAAGAAATTTCTGACAAAAAGAACCATTTCTTGGGTCCCTGGTGAGTTCTCCTTATCAGATCTGCACTACTGTACAGTATTTACTATAGACTCAAAGTATTAACTATTTCAGTACAATGTTAACTATATACTCAAAGTACAAACTATTAATGTACAATATTAACTATATACTCAAAATACTAAGTATTATAGCAATATATTAACCATATACTTAAGATAAGTACTAAGTGTTACAGTACTACATTTGCTATATAATAAGGCAGGCACAACTATACTCACCAATTTCATCAAAAGTGCAACAAGGGTTGTAAGTAATTATCCTCGGTTCGCCCCCAGCTGCATCTTTCAATTCCTTAATCCTGGTATCAAACAGTCGCAGACCTGGCTCCGCCTCCTCCCACTGAGAGACAATCTTGTTGTCCATCAGTGTCGTAAACATCTGCGTTTCTATGAAAGCTGACAGAAATGGGAGGTGGGCAACAGGTTGGTCGCTGAGAAAAGCTGCCTTGTCGAAGTTGTGAACTGTTTCCCTGTTGCTCATCCATGACTCCAAATCCTGAGATGGGTTAATGACGAAGTTCTCGTATGAAGCAAACATGTGCACAAAGCAGTTGAGAAAGATGTCCCTGACGGCACTGTTAAATTTGAGCTGGTTTATTTCGGACAGGGACATTCCATCAGAATCTGTAGGAATGGAAATGTCTTTGTCTTTCGCCACTGGGGATGTGTCATCCAGCACAATGTCTTCAATAGAATCCCACACTCCGGTCTTTTTAGCCAAGCTGGATATCTTCTTCCATGCCTCACTCTGCTGAAGGATCTCTTTTCTTTTGGGAGAGTTGGGCCAGCTGGTGGTGTTGGTGGTAGTGGTGTCATCATTCTTCAGGGAGGACACACTCTTAAAGCCAGACTCCCGCCGAGGCGTTGGCGGGTACCCACGGGACATTTTTTCGGCACCAATGAGATTTTGGTATTTGTTTAAAACCTGAGTTAGCTCACTTTTGAGTTCTGTTTGGTAAGGAAACAAAGGCAGGTCTTCGGGGTACTCCATCAGTTTGTTATCGATGTCCACAAAGCACATGTTTGCCTGTGGGGAAAGACAAATTTCAACTAGAGATAATAAAACGTTATGACATTCCCAAGTGACAAACACTGCCATAGGAGTCTGAAAGTCATAGACATCCATATAAATATAAAGCTATAATGGAGTGGAATTTAAAAAAAAAATGTTGGTGGGGGGGTGTCCTTTTTTAACATTTACCAACAATTTTCAAAAATTAATACATAGTTTAGGTCGTCAACTGAATGATACAGGTACTGAAGTGGATCTGAGGGTATGGGATACCAGATACCATGTTGCATAAAAGGGGGAAATCTGGAAGGTAACAGAGATTCAGGAGAAAGTGACTACAGACATGTTAGGAGATAAGCATCTGAAAAGAAGCAGGTTAAATACGTCTATAGCAATAATTGTCCAGAAATCCCATGCCCTAACTGTGGAAGACGATAACCCGAGTGGGTCTTGCTAGTCACACTCGCCTTCATATGGCCTGTCATTCCCATGCCTCCTTATGTCACAATCTAACACTAGCGTCTGGAAAGACAGAAAAGTGAGAACAAATAATAATAATAAAGGCAGAAATAGTTACCTCACAGGGTAATACAAGACTGGACTTATCAACAGTGGAGACTTTGCACAAGCCCATGATGAACGGGACAGGGGCGTCCAGGAAATGCTGCATCGAAGCTGGCAATATAGGCACATAAACCAGTTGCCACTGGAAGGGAAAGATCAGAACGTTCATTCCCTCGGCCACGAGCATCAGTCGTTGGTACTCTGAAAGATAGCATCAGACAATCTGTTATGTGAGTATCTGAAAACTATCAAATAAAGTGAACTTAACGAACAGTGTACATCAGCATATGGATGAATCATGATTTTTGGAACATAATGGCAAATTTGTAAATTGTGATTTTCATAGCAAATGGAACATGAAATGGAGAAATTCTGAATTTCATCATAAACACACAGTGAAATGGTTGAAACATAATTTTATAGTGGACACAACAAAAATTTGACGAACTGAGCATTTTATCTTCTTTTCTTCTTTTGTCAACATCTGCTTGTGCCGCTAGGCGTTGCAGTCTATCAGATGATCGGCAACCGAGCCAGGGCGCGCTCAGTCGCTTCATATGCTGTGATGTTATGAAGTCTCAAGTTGTCCGTGACTCCTTCAATCCATCTTCTTCTTGGTCTTCCCCTGCCTCTTGGTGTTTCGATTTTCATGTTGTATGCTCTTGATGCTGGCATCGTTGGTTCCATTCTCACTAGGTGACCAAACCATTTCATTCTTTGCTTCTCAATAAATTTAACGATGGGTATGGTTCCAATAGTTCTTGTAATCACATCGTTTCTCACTCGATCTCTTCTGGTTTTATTCGCAGCCATTCTCAAACATCTCATTTCACAGGTGGTTAGTCTTCTCTCGTGTTCTTTTGTTAATGTCCAAGTCTGACATTGATAACCTAATGTCGGTATAAAGATATATATATATAATTTGTCTTTTTATCTCAGCTGGGACAGCAGGGTGTTTTAAAATTGGGGCAAGCTGGTATGCGACATTGTTGGCTTGTTGGATTCTTGCTTCGATCTCTCTGTCTATTTTACCATTGAATGTAAAGATACTTCCCAAGTATTTAAATTCTTGCACTTGTTTTAGGCTGTGATCTAGAATCTTTATGTCGATGGTCTGTTGCTCTCTACTTATGCTCATGACTTCTGTCTTTTCAGTATTGATCTTCATATGATGCTTGAGGCAACTGTCGTGTAGTAGGTTTATGTGGTCTTGCAGCTGTTTACTATCACTGTGAAAAATGCATTGATCATCGGCAAAGAGCAGCTCATTGAAGTCCTCCTGTATTATGAAAAGAAAAGGTGATAATACACAACCTTGTCTTACTCCTGATGTTACTGGGAACCAGTCTGTGATGCCAGCTCTTGTTCTAATGGCGCTTTCACTTTGTCTATAAATAGCCCTAACACAATCTAAAATTGTTCCATTTATACCGTAGTTTTCAAGAACTTTCCATAATAAATTTCTGTTTACTCTATCGAAAGCTTTTTCTTGATCTATGAAAGTGATGTTCATTTGATGTCTGTGTTCTATTGTCTTTTCGCTAACTTGTCTTAAAGCAAAAATAGCGTCAGTACACCCTCTTCCTTTCCTAAATCTGACCTGTGATGGGCTCAGGATCGGTTCTACAACGGATCTAATTCGTTGTTCCAGAATTTTGGCAAACATTTTTCCTACGTGGCTTAGAAGGGAGATGCCTCTGTAATTGTTACAATCTAGCTTATTGCCTTTTCTTTTCCAAATTGGGACTATAAGGGCTCTTTGCCAGTCTATTGGTACAGTTCTTTCATTCCAGGCTTTCCTAAATATGTGGAGTAGCCAGGTGACTCCAATTTCTCCACAAGCCTGTATTGCCTCGGCTGATATTCCATCAACACCTGATGCCTTATTTTTGGGACTGCATCTGATTGCTTCTCTGACTTCTTGTTCGATTATTGTAGGCTGTTCCTCGTTTGTACATCTGGGTGTGAATGGTACTGTTTCCTCATTTCCTGTTACATTCAGAAGAGTCTGAAAATATTCTTTCCACCTTTCTCTGATCTTGCCCTCCTCATGTATGGGTTTGCCTTGACTATCATTGACATATTCAGATGGCTGGAATGGTTCATCTCTAGTTCTCATTTTTGCAATGGTTTTGTAAAACTGTCTACTAGATTTAGCACAGATTTTGGTAAGATTTTCCCCATAAATGATCCAGGATGTTTCCTTGGATTGTTTAATTTTTCTTGCAGATTGTCACCTGGCAATTCTGTACTTAATATAATCGTCATCTGAGCGGGATCTTAACCATTTCTTGTATTGCTCCTTTTTACATTTCACTGCTTGTTTTACGTTATCATTCCACCATGCTGTTTTTTTCCTGAACGTTCTTCCTGTGTATCTAATACCACAGAGTGTTGTTAGGCAGTTCAGAAGAGTGTTCTTAAATTTTTGCCACGCAGCTTCCACATTGTGAGCATTTTATAATAAATTTTAAAAAATGTAAAATGGGTGTACTGTGAATTTTATGGTAAATGCAGTGTGAAATGATTTAATCATGAATTTTATAGTAAAAAACATGTGAAATTGTTGAATCATGAATTTGTGACTAAACAATATATAACAGGGACACATAGTAACATTTAAAACAAACTTTATAAGAAATGGATGAATCAAAAATTTTACAGTAAATACTGTGTGAAACCTGGTGAATGATAAGCTTATTACCAAACACAATGGATGGATTATGAATTCTATAGTAAATATAATGTGAAATAGACAAATCATACATTTTTTAGTGAATACAATCTGAGCTGAGTTGAGCTGATTCAAGAATCAACATCACAGCACTTGAGGCACTCCCATAAACACTATGTCCCCGTCTTCAGCAGCCAGTGCAGAGTTCCAATACCAATGGTGCTAGTGCCATTCTGATTATATGTCTGTCTTGAATTTCCTCTGAGTGTCAAGTATCAGCCAGATTCCCTCGTCAACCCCTTCCCTCCCCGGCCGCATCACTCTCACTTGACTGAGGTGATCCATAAGCATGATGAAACATAATGTGAAATGGATGAACCATGAATTTTACTGGGAACACAGTGTGAAATTGATGAATCATAAATTTTACTGGGAACACAGTGTGAAATGGATGAATCATAAATTTTACTGGGAACACAGTGTGAAATTGATGACTCATAAATTTCACTGGGAACACAGTGTGAAATGGATGAATCATAAATTTTACTGGGAACACAGTGTGAAATTGATGACTCATAAATTTCACTGGGAACACAGTGTGAAATGGATGAATCATAAATTTTACTGGGAACACAGTGTGAAATTGATGACTCATAAATTTCACTGGGAACACAGTGTGAAATGGATGAATCATAAATTTTACTGGGAACACAGTGTGAAACTGATGAATCATAAATTTTACTGGGAACACAGTGTGAAATGGATGAATCATAAATTTTACTGGGAACACAGTGTGAAACTGATGAATCATAAATTTTACTGGGAACACAGTGTGAAATGGATGAATCATAAATTTTACTGGGAACACAGTGTGAAATGGATGACTCATAAATTTTATAACAAACACAGTGTAAAATCAGGTCCATGTTCCTGTTAGCCAATACCATGTGACCATTCCAGGCAGGCCTTCTTCTTTATCTTCGCTCTGCACTTTTTCATTCAGGTTACTAAGTTTTTCAGTTTATTTATCTTAAACTTCTTCTCTACAAACTGTACAGGGTGGGGGGAAAAAAAAAGGGGGGGGGGAAGGGGGAGGAAATAAGGATCTGTGGTTTGTTTTCTTATGTACTTTGTAAACTGGTCTGCATTTCTCTACGCAGTCCACTAAATTACAGCTGAATGGAGCTAAGTTTAAAGAACCAACATTTTAGCGGGGAAAGGGGGGGGGGGGGGGGGGGGGGGGGAGGAGAGAGAGAGAGACATGTAAGGATCTGTGTTTTTGGATATTCTCATAAGTGCTCTGAACCCATATTCAGCAGCCGACAAAAAGTTTCAACTCCAAAACCACCATTAACAGTTTGACTGTAAGTGCATCTTGCCTTTCCTCTTAGTGTGCAGTGCTGGCCAGATTGCTAGTCACATGATTACCGAAAGAATTTACCACACCCTCTTTACCCTAACAATTTATTGTTGTAAAGAAGATACCTGAGACAGAAACAGTTAATTCAAAATGTGAGGCATATGGTATTGTTTGGTACCGAAAGAGTTAGGTTAGTTACTTATTTAGTAAGTCACAGTTCAAACTTCATTGCATATGGCTCACTTGATAAATGCTCCACTTATGTGCCAATAAAAACTACACACAATGCGCACCACTGCCTCTTGAGAAAAAATATTTAAACCAACTGCTGTCTCAGCACAGCTAAGAGCACACACACGGATCAGATGCATAAAGCATCAATCATGAGTGCCGACACAGTCTGCTACTAGAATTGCAGTTCTTCTTCGATGGAAGCAGCAGTTAAAACAAATAAGCAGTTTTGCATTCAATACTGCATAAGGCATCGCCAGTTAGCTCTATGGAATCAGGCCATCTGCTATTTTCTAAATCTACAGTTCAAAGCATAAACTTCCTTGGGCACAGAGACTCAACTCAGTAGCTGGATGATGAAACTATACATTTTCAGTCCACCACATATGGGGAAAATGCTGTTTAATAAGTGTAAAACCATTCTCTGACATACCTGAGGAGTACAAAAGCACCTGATGTTCTAGAAGCACACATTTGAAGATATCCACCACACCATCTACACCCAGTAGCATGAACATATCATAGAGGGAGAAATCAAACAGAGGCAGCTCTCCCAGACCTGCAAAGATAACAACAGATGTATCAATGCAATGTTTTCATGTTGTCAGTTTAAACCCAGCAGATGCAACATGTTACTGTCTTTACCGCCTGTATTTGTTGCATTTTCTATGCTCATAAAGCAGGCCAAGTGAGGGATTATGCTGCATGGGCAACACATGTTCTCTATAATTACGCTCAGGCTGTCTGCTATAGAGAGAAGACAATTTATCCCATGCATTACTGGTATTGTCATAGGCTGTGATTCCAACACTTTCTTATAGTACACTTGTTCTCAACCTTTCTAATGCCATGACCCTTTAATACAGTTCCTCATGGTGTCATGACCCTTTAATACAGTTCCTCATGGTGTGGCGATCCCCAACCATACAATTTTTTTTGTCGCTACTTCATAACTTCCATGAATATTTGTTTTGCTATGGTCTTTGGTAATCCATGTGAAAGAGTCACCCCCCCCCCCCCCAACGACCAATAGGTTGAGAACCGCTGCTAAAGCACAAAAGAACATTCTCCTCTGGAAATACTGAACAGTGCCAACAGTAGTTAGCCGTTGCATTTTAAACAGTGTGATGCTCATTCCACTTTTGAAATGAAAGTGAACTGGCCCCTACTAAATCACTAACTGACTTTGTAATTTGCTAAATGAGGATTGTTAAACTGAATTCAAATATGTGCTATTGAAATAAAAAAGATAAAGAAATTAATCATGTTAACTGAAAAAGTTAGGCCCATAAGGAACCCAAAACATGACTGAACCTACTCCTTGCTATTTCTTGCCGCTTATGGAATTTTATAATATATTATTCATCTTTTGTCTCTGTGTGTCTGTAGGTTTTCAATATCTTACACTAAATTTAAACAAAGATACCCTGGACGCATTTGAGATATAATTTCACAACAGAAGCAATTTTTTGTTTAAAGAGCAACACCATCTCCGCAGCTAAACAAATTAACATGTTTTGACTGCACTCAAATACAGAAGCAGAGTTGGGAGGACACATTGCACAACATAAAAATTGAAAGCTATAGTTGCCATACCAGGACTAGACCCTTTTGCCTCCAGGAATAAGTGTACTTTGATTCATGACTAACTCTACACCCCTTTACTGCACTTTCAAAATGCTACAATTACTCACCAGGTCTGATGACACAGATAGGGTTGAAGCAGCCAAAGAACTTCATGCTGCGACCGCATGGTGGGAGAGGTACATCATAAATTATATTGAAAACATATGACTCTAAAGTCAAAGCCAGCTGATTGGGCTTCTGGGCTGCTTCAAACAGCTGCTGCAGAAACTGCTGTCCAGACCTACAGACAGCACAATAAAACAATGTAGACAACAACAACAAACTATCATTCATATTTATCATCAACTTCCACTGGCGCTGCCTTTTCTTCTTCTTAGCACGAATCTATTGTGAACACCAGTGGAAAGTCCTGGCTGTTTATCTACTTTTGGACTTTCGTCTTGTTCCAGAACCTGAGTTCTGCTTGCACATTCATCTTACAGATCTGACTTACTTATATGCAGACTGTTGGTTTCTAACCTCTCTGGCAGAAGCACTCTAAAGGAAACTTTTGCTGTAAGTGTCCTGAAAGGAACAGTTTGTGGTTCTGTGCTCAACTAGTGGTTTGGCCGCTGTCCTTCCAAGACGATGTATAATGTATATAAAATGGTGCTACTAGGGGGACCAGAGGATCTGGCCGACACTCAACACCCATAGGAAATGTGAGAGAGACATACAATCAGACTGTTACTGGTACCATCAGAGCTGGAACTTTGTGCTTGCGGACGAATAAGAAGACAGCACTTATGGGAATATTCTGGGTGCTGTGATGGTGATTCTTGATTCAATATTTGTGTATAAGGTATTTAATGTCATCCATCTGTCTTCACTTTGGGTGCCCGCCTCTCTCTCTCTTCTTCTCCTTTTATATCGATCCTTCTGTCAAAATAATAATATCAGAAGGGCAGCAGCCTTGATGAAAGGTGTTTCACAGTGCAAATCTCACACAGATAATTTCAGGTGTTGTGCCTATGTTGGTAGATGTTGTTGTAGCATGTTAACAAAATGACCAAACAAATCTGATATGTTTTTCAATTAATTTGGTGTAAGGTGGTATTCTCAGTCTGTCTCACAGCATCATTTCTCACTTGTTCACCCATGATCCAGCTAGTGGTTTTCCTCAGGCAATCTTATTTCATAGGTATACATTTTACACAGATCAACTTTCTGATCATGAGCAAGTTTGGTACTGATAGCACAGTGCTGGTATGGATATTATGTTTATATCACCATACTTATGACTGAAAGTCTTAATACTGGTATTAGTTGGTATGAAAATGCAAGTCAGTTTCATGACAAATGGGTCACCCCATAACTGCTCCACTTCTGTGCCAGGAAATCCTACCTGTTCCAGGTGAAAGAAAAAAAGGAATTAAACAGACTTTAGTTCTGGCAAAGCCAACAGAACGTAGAGACATTTAATGCATATGGCAGCTGCCAGAGGCACTAACACAAACAGTCAGCCACTAGAATTGCAGTTCACCAGCGATGGAAGTAGCAGTCACAAAAAATTAACAGCTGCTCAGGAATTACTGCATAAGGCCCTACCAGTTCTGTAGCAAAGGTCCACCCACCATTTTCTGAATACGCAGTTTACAGCATAAATCCCTTTGGGTATAGTCAAAGTACCTCTAACATGAAATTTGCAGCTCACAGTGTCACACCGGGCATCCAAAACAGTAACTGGACAACAGAGTGATACATTTTCAGTTTCCAGTGGGGAAAATCATGCCTCAGCAAACCATGGCTAGAAGCACATAACACTCCAAGGCTCTAACAGATGACCCATCTATCTGCAATAATGGACTAGAAGTCCTTCTTAAAAAAAAGCAAGGACACTATCAAGCAAAGAAAATGCATTTGACAAAGACATACCTTACAAATGGCTGTGGTGTGACTAGACAGATACACTTGCTGACATACAACTTATCCCGGCTGGCATCAAAAGAATTCTGCTTCTCCTTTCGCTCGGACAAAATTCTCTTTACAGGCTCAGGGCTGTCGAGAGAGAAGGTGACAGCGGTGTTGGCCTGGTGCATGACGTACAGTGTCTGCATGGTGTCCAGCACAGACTTGCTTGTGACCTCCTCGTAAAACACCAGAGCTGACCCATAACAGCGAGACCCATCCTCTCGGGTGATGATGAAAGAATGGAACTTGGGCTGTCGCGAGTCCCACTGTGTTCTGAAAGACAAGCCTCTGGGCAGGCATAGCTGTAAAAATGTTGATAGTAATTTTATTTACATGTAACATAGCATAACTGTGAAAATGTAGACAGTAAATTTTTTTTTCAACCTGTAACCAAACAGGATTGGGACTTCTTTTTTCAAAATGGTGGATGGCAGCGATGTTTTTTCTCGGTGATTGTGATTTCTCTCTGACTGTTTCCTTATAATGGACTGCTATTTTGTGTGCATTTCCAACGCAGGATACTGTGTTTTTCATGGGAGCAGTGTGTATTATGGTTGTCCTATCTCTGGGCGGTATCATGACCGATAGTTTTGGCAGCCCTCTGACCACGCTGCCTTCGCAGTGTTTGGATCGTGGAGGCCCATTCAGGAAGACAGAATCTCGTTAGCAGGGGACTGCAACTGTCTACAGAGCTAACTCGATAAAAGCTATCGCCAGAAACGGAATGTGCCAACCATTCATTTGGTGTGAAGGAATCGACACATACATTAACCAAACATAGACTTAAAAAATGCAGAGAATAATTTTCTTTACCTGTAACTAAACAGAGATATAAAAATGTAAACAGTAATTTTCTTGGCTTGTAACCAAAGAATTAACATGTAAAAATGTAAACAATAATTTTCTTAGCTTGCAACCAAACATAGCTGTAAAAATGTAGACAATAATAATTTCTTTTTGTTGTAAACTTGTAAGCAAACATAGCTGTAAAAATGCACAAATGGTGTAGAATCAGTCAGTCGATCTGCCTGCTCATTTCCCAACACACCAGCATGAAATCGAAAGAATATCCAAAGGATACTAACTACCGGGGACCTCTGAAGGGGACTCACAAAGTATGCTTAAAAAAAATAGAACCTGATGTCCTGTAGAGTGACTTTCTGTCTGATAAAACTCAGATCAGAAGCACATCAGGGATTTGTGTCCAGGATATTCTAGTGTGCAGGGTAATGAACCGAGTGACAGATTGGCAGCTGCTCCTCTGGACAGTGAGCTATTTTATGATAAAGCAGATGAATGAATAAATGAACTTTATTTTTGAATGGTTACAAATGAGATGGTGCAATGGAGCAGACAGGGTTTCAAAAGATTGATTTAGCAGAGACTAAGCAAAGGGTCTCAACTGTTTTCAATGTGAAGAGGAAAAGACAGGAGACCTTTTAATCAGGTTATGCCTGGTGTGCTATGATGTCCATTCTTAAATCAGTAAATCAATACTGGGGAAGGGGGGGGAGAGAGAAGAGGGATCACGTCTGAATGCCCAAATTGTCGTCACGTCAATAACTGATTCGTTCATTTAACTGCATCCACTTTAATCTCTGATCCCCGAATCCTAGGCAAGCATTTAACCTTTGTGTCACTACACCTCTCCTCTTTCAGGTTTTTAATTTACTATTTTAGAAATGTGTTAATTCGAATCGTGTTTCTTTGTCTGATGATTCCTTCTATTTACTTATGGATAAAATCTGCTATACTAGCTTCAAACAATTCAAGAATAACAGGAAACAGCAATAAACATACCATGCCTACAGCATTCTCGTCAAATGGATTCCAGAGCACTGTCTCTGGATAATGTGCAAGGACCCTGGACTTATATGGGCGTTCTAAGGGAGGGCACTGTTGATGGTCACCTAAAGATAAACAAACCAAGACGTCATGTTATTACTAATTCACAAAGCTTGGCTAGTCAGTACTGGGGCTGGCAGAGCCAGCTTCAAAAGTAGAAACTTGTATGCTAGACAGAGAGTGGCATTCACCGATTGATGAGATTCAGAGACAAGACCCATCCCCACTGGACTACAGGTTGCTTCTAAATCATTGTGCCAGGCCCTAATATAACTGTTTTATATGGCTATGTAGTTGTTTTATGAGATTTACAACTGTTTGATTTTCCTCCTACATATGTTAATCCTAGGGTGGTTTTGGTAATGACTACCTGAGATTAAATGCAGAGCACAGTAGAACTGAGTATACATCCATAAAGTGGCTGATTCAGTGAGGAGTACGCAAAGAGCTATGGAGCTGGAATTGACATGCCTCATCACAAAGCCAGATTTCATGACACGAGTCACTACAAAGCCAGATTTAGTGACATGAGTCACTACAAAGCCAGATTTTGTGACACGTGTCACTACAGAGCCAGATTTTGTAACACGAGTCACTACAAAGCTATATTCTGTGACAGGAGTCGCCTTAAATCAAGATTTTGTGACATACCTCACCGTAAATCTAGATTACGTGACATGCCTTAGTGTAAAGCTAGACTTTGTGACATGCTTCAGCGTAAAGCTAGATTTTGTGTATTCTTGTTTCCAACTACTGCATTGTCCTTTTTTTTTTTTGGTACTATAATGATGAAAGGTTTCTAAATGCAATGTTCATTTTGTCGTTAGAGACTGGGTACTGTGGAGGTTAATATTCTACTTCTTGTGTTGACTGACATTTTTTCATTTTCTTTCTAAATCATTCCAGCATTTAACACAACCAAACTATGACCAGACCGCCATAAATACCAGCAATGCCAATGGAAACTAACAGACAAATCATAAACAAAATTTGTCTACCAACATTGTGTTACCAATGCCAAACCTGGGCACTAAAACAGAACAAGAGCAGAAACCTTCAACGTGTGAAATGAGATGTTTGGGGGGAAAAAAGCAGTCAACATAACAAGAGACCATAAAAGAATCAAAGATATCATTAGAATAGTGGAAAAAACACCCGTAATTAGACTTACTGAACATCAAGAGGCAGAGGATGACCAAGAAGAAGATGGAACAAACAACTTGCTGAAACTCAGTAGTATTATCATGCAGCAAGCTGAACACAGGCACACTATCCCAGAAGTCGATCATTAGCCTTGCCTGTGATGACTAACAGCATTAAACAGATAAAGACAATAGATAGTAAATATTAAAGAAAATGTACATCTCAATTATAATATTGAGGGTTGAACACAAAATGCTATTATTTATATAAAACTACTACCACATGACCAAAGTGTTTTAGTTTTCAAGCCATTGTAATTTTTTTGGGTCAAATTCTCTTCAAAGTTCTGACCTTGCAGAAGGTCAGTATTTTAAAAAAGAAATTTCCTGGCTCATAGTATTTCAAGAAGTTTTTTTCTTTTTAACAACACTCATGTCCATTTCCTTCTGTGTTGGCCCATAAAAAAGTGGTAGGCATGTTATGTTGTGATTTACAGCTAGGCTATGATATCCAAGCCTTTTCTGTCAAACACATCCAATTTCAGCAAACTTAGAATTTAATGAGGGGTGTATTCTGTTTTCCCCCATTAAATGGAGCCTTGGAACCCAGATAAGGATTGAAGTTTATAAGCCCCAAGTGAGTGTAAGCTAGACTGAAAGACGAACTGTCGCATTTGAAAGAAAGCAAAGGCAATGAGCTATAGAGAGGATATGCCGGAGAGTAAATCAGCCTCCTAGCAAGGGAGTATCTACTTTTGTGTATCCTATGTGCCAAAGGCTGCCACCCCCACACCAGACTTAACACTCACAGCAGATGTTGTTCCCAAAGCCAGCGGCATATCTCCATAGTCCTCAAGGATGAAGGATGCCATTATGACTGTAAGCTGTTCTTTGACTTCTTCACTGTTTTTTTCCCTCAGTGTTGTGTGCTTATCTGCATGCAGACTGTTGGTTCCCTACCTCTCAGGCAGATGCACTCTGACTTCAAAAGATGCTTAACATTAGTCGACTCCTAGAAAATGCATGCTGGGGTGGCAGTGGGTCTATTCTTGTTTTTCCCACAACCGGCACAGAACACACACAGGGAGGGCAGTGATTCCGACATCACAGCATTCAGAAAAAGCCACATTAGCTCCATCTCCCTCCTCAACAGCCAGCAAAGAGTCTTTAGAATGATAGTATCTGTTCTCAAATGGTTAACTATTTGTCTTGCCTTTCTACCTAGTCTCAAGTAGAGCCCACAGCCCACCGATACTTGATACTGTATTATTCTTTCACCTCTGCCTTGCGCAGCTACAGTTCACCCCCAAATGGGGCCAGTAAGTAAAAGTAAAAGTGAAGATCCCCTTTGAAGTCTTTAGGTACATCAGGTATATGGGAAGAACACCCATATTTTTACAGACCATCGACACTAGGTGGGTGATGTGGTCAGCATTATGTCGGCCATTTTTACTTCCCTAGGACAGCCATCCTGGTACCCATATTAGGCTGGGTCGACCTGCGACACCCTGTACCATGATAAATATCCACGCAGCCAGTAGTGGGTTTCAATCGCAGTACGATGGAATTACGAGTCGGACTGGATCTGCCTACATAGCCAAGGCAAAATATATTTTACTTTTACTTACTTCCCCATATTGCTAGGAGGCATATTGTTCTCATTTTACTTTGTTTGCTGGTATTCTGCTAAAAACTTAATACTTAATATGAACAAAGAAGACACAACAAACAATAGATTGCACAATTTATTGCCTGGCATATTTCGCTGTAATCTTGTATTAATAATACTATTATGGTACAGTTCTCTTTGTTTTTAATTTCATAATCATGCAGCCAATGTACTCAAATCAAAGTGTTAGTTTTTAATTTTATCATCGCTGAATTGATTGATTGTAGTTTTTTGTAAGCTGAATTAACTGAAGTAAATGTAATTTTATAAGGATTATAAAATTACATTTTTTGGGCACTATCGGACTAACATCGTTTGTTTTATTTTTTTTTTTAAGATCAGAAACTGATACAGTGATTGATAATGATCGACACCGTGTCACTATAATACAAATACAACAATCAATTCACAACCAGCAGACAAGACACAAATAACTGATTCGGACTCGTTCGACGTTTGTGTTTGGGGAGTGGGGTTGTTGACAAAATGAACTTACCCGATAACCTATCGGGTTCTAACTCACTGGCCTCATCAAGCCCACAGATAACAAAATAATCAACAAATCTGTTTGCTTTCTCCTGTGCTGCCATGACCAGTTATTCCATTCATGACAACCTGGAGAAAATGATCAGCTCGACGATGTCAAAAACAACAAAACCTATTCTTCCATTCTCCATAGCAGAAACACTCGCAATGACGCCCCAGATTTTTCTTTATTCTCGGCCAATTTTACTTTATCAACATCATCCTGTGCCGCTCCACACACACTACACACACAAACAAAAGTAGACAGCCATGTTTCGCCACGAATCCGACCATTGTTCTGGTCTCACCCCCATCCATATGGCTAAGCCTTCCAAGAATTTATTTCTGTGCTTTCCTCTCGATTATTTCTGTAAATCATGCCAGCCATTTCAATTTAATAATTGTATAGTATATTTTTAAAAATAGGCAATAATACTGTATTTTGAACCCATTCATTCTAATAACGTAACATAAAAACGCCGACTCTAATCTATCTAATCAATTTACAGTTTACATCTGTCTCTAGGATACTTAAGAATTAAATAAATTCCAGTTTCGCTTTTTAAGGATGACATTTTTTGTTATTTGAAGCCCCACCCTGGCTTTTGCCAGGGGCCGCAATATAGGCAGGCCATAAATGTGGCCAATTGTCTGAACGCGGTTTCTGGGACCTCTCCACGGCGATCCTCATCCACATAGTGGCACTTTGTGTCATCGGGTGTTTATCGCTTGTGTGATGTCATAGTGGGGTAGAAAGTCAGTCAGACTGTCTCTAGGAGAACTGCCTCATTTTTTTCTCTATCATTGTATTATATACTTTGCATTGTTCTAGGTAAAATCTATGTATAGAAGGGTGAAAAATGCTTATGGCATCCTTGAAGTAGTTTTCTCTCAAGATAAAACTGAGTAGAATAATCATGATTGCACACAAAGGAAACAATATATCCACCATGTTAATGACACAGTGCTATCAAAAATGTCTAATTATTCATAGTACAATCACAACCCAAATCAAAGCCAAATGTGACACTATACACATTTCATTTTAATCATATAAGTAAATACATGATATATAAATTTAATATAACAAATATATACTTTGAGGAATCAAAAAACACTATGTATTCCAATTGTAACCTAAGCATTTAAAATTATATTGTTGAAATACTACTACGACTACTACTACTACTTTATTCTTATAAAAACACACACACACACACACGTGAGCAGAATATTAAAAAAAAATAACAATATAAAATAATAGGGATTCGTAAAATAGGTTATATATATATATTATATATATATATATATATAAGTGTAAACTGGAAATGCAGTTTACACTATATATCTCGATTATAATCCTAAGGACTGAACAGAATTTTATTTATTTGTAAACTACTACTACTACTACTACTACTACTACTACTACTACTACTACTACTACTACTACTACTACTACTACTACTACTACTACTACTACTACTACTACTACTACTACTACTATTACTACTACTATTACTGCTACTACTACTGCCACCTCCACCACCACTACTACTACTACTGCCACCCCCATCACTACTACTACTACTACTGCTGCTGCTGCTCCTACTACTATTAGGGCTTTTTTTTTTTAGTTGCCAGTAATCAGCCTAATGTCTGTTACAATACCCTCAACAGCTTTTGTTTTAACATATCCTTCAACTAACCCGGGCCTTCTCCAGCCTATCTAGAGCTTTATCTTTCTGTATTCCAACTTGAGGCTCCCCGTGTCAGGCTTGGACATTAACAGGAGAACATAAGAGAAAACTAATCACGTTTGAAATGAGATGCTTGAAGAAAGGCTACAAACAAAACCAGAAGAGATCGCTTGAGTTAGCTTAATTCATCAGGAAACCAAAACTGAAATGGTTTAAGCTCCCTTGTGAGAATGAGTCCAACTATGCTGACAGTGAAAGCTTACAGCATAAGAATGGAAACATCATAACTCAAATGCAGACCTAGTAGAATATTGATTGAAGGTGTCAATGACATCCTAAGACTTCACAACAGCGCAACACAGCGAACCCTAGATCAACTACCTATCATTTATTTGTTTAACAGCGACGTCTAGCTACACAAAGCAAATACTTGACAAAAGAAAAAAACGTTTTTGTTTCATATTTATTAATTGCGAACTAAACTGTAAAAAAAAAAAAAATTTGTTGCATTGCATTTTTTATTCTATATAAAATTGTATACTGCCCTAGAGCAAGAGGCAGACCGAGAGTACGATGGATAGACAATACATCAGAGATCCTGAGGCAACACGGACTAACAACAACACGTGCACCACACCTGGCCCAGAATAGAAAACGGAGACTCCCCGCTACGCTGTGAGGCAATTGTGGACAAGACAAGACAAGACAAAAAATTGTATAAATGATTTAACTATGCCTTTCAGACAACAGCGCTTTTATGTAGTAGTAGTAGTTCATTTTACTCCACCAGGACATCACAAAAGCGATAAACACCCGATGACACAAAGTGCCACCATGTGGATGAGGATCACCCATGGAGTAGTCCCGGAAACCGCATTCAGCCATTAGGCCATATTTATGGCTCCGGCTATATTGCAGCCCCTGGCAAGAGCCAAGGTGGGGCTTCAAAATAACGAAAAATTGCGTCCCACAGCGGGATGACTAGAATATACGCTTAATAATTGCGGGAAACTTAGTGACATTTTTAAGAAAGAAAAGTCTTCTCTGATCAGATTATGAGAAGACAGGTATCTGAGAGCAAGTTGACAGAAAAGGTAGAGGGTTAGTTAGAGAAATTATACTAGGTTGCGTAATAAAAAATTTAAAAATAGACTTGTTAAAAATATTAATACTCAGTCAAATACTGACTCAATGTTAATGTTTATCAACAAATCTTTTTTTTTTTAAATTGGATCAGTTCTAATAATAAAATTTATCAGTACAATTATGCCACCTAGTATAATTTCTGACAAATGTCAGTTACATTCTACTCCCATTAGCACTATATAAACAATCGGAATTGTGTACAGGCTAATTTTTATATTCCACCCCTCTCCCCCCCCCCCCCCCGCCCCCACCCTCGTGAAAATGAAACATATCTGTATAATTCAATCTGAAGTAAACATAAGCATGCTATTGCCATTATAACCTGCAGTTGAAAAAAAATATTAACAGATTTGCCACCTCTTGCCAAATCTGGCCAAATATCTTGACAAAGGGGTGGGTTGGGCGAGGGCGACTCATTTTTAACTATGACTTTAGTCTTATATGTCTTATTTATTTTATCATACTTTAATCACAAGGGTAGCCAATTGTTTAATGACTATGGAACTTGAATTATAATGAAAAATTACACAAACGTAATTTAAATATTTTTAATTCAAGATTTGCGATCGTCTAAAGATATCACATTACAATTGGACTTTTCACATTCCAAAATTGCAGCCTGAAAAATTGACAACCAGTAACTCAAAGAGATTTAGAATCAGTGAATTGGTGAGATAAAAATTATATCCTTACGTCCTTTTTAGGACGTAATTTTTTGTTATTTGAAGCCCAACTCTGGCTTTTGCGAGGGGCCGCAATATAGGCAGGCCATAAATATGGCCAATTGTCTGAACGCGGTTTCTGGGACCTCTCCACGGTGATCCTCATCCGCATGGTGGCACTTTGTGACATCGGGTGTTTATCGCTTGTGTGATGTCCTGGTGGGGTAGAAATTCATTCATTGGTGAGATGTTGATGGCATTTTAAGACTGACGCAGAAGTGAGACGCGTGTGTGCCATTATTGATCGCATATAGGATTTTAGTTGTCTCAAAGACGAAAATGATCTCTCTGCCGTACATGTCGCGGTTAGTCATCATCATCATGTAGCAGGTCCTTTGCAGAACGTCGCTCTCATCACAGTCTGCCTGAATGAAACTCAAGAAGTCACCTATATCCTGTGCCCATCTTCGTGTTGGTCGGCCCCTGCCCCTTCGCGGTTAGTACTGTCATAAATAATTTAACGAATTTAACCAGTTCTCGCAACATTGTTAGGAAATAGTTTTTAACCCACACACACACACACACACACACACACACACACACACACACACACGCAACAAGAACAGACGCGAAGTGTCTGACACAATCGCAAAATGAAACCATAAAATAAGTAAAAGACCTTTTTCCGCGCATTTAGGCATATTAGGCATATAGGGCTAGACCTGTACTTTAAAGACTCTCTCGCCAGTTGGTGAGTCCAAGTGTTTGTAGATCTGTCTGGATATTATCTCTCTGCAGTCAGACTGTCTCGTGGTCTGTTACTATCCAACTCCCTTGTGTGCACACTTGTTACCTCTCTTTCATCTGACATTCTCTCTGATTACCCCAGCCATTTCAGTCATGTCTGTCCACAATTTTTTTTTTACCTCGTACACGTTCAGTCACAGATGGTCTTCCATGATATGATATTAAACTGTTTAACATCTTCTCTCGATATCTCTCCCTGCCTCTCTTCCCCTCTAGCGTTTCTTCCTTCACGATGTATTCCAGTTTTCTCCCTCACATAACATGACCAAAAAATGTTGACTACTTTTACTTGGTTTTAATCGAGGCCACTGAGGTTGTGAGATCAGGATGAGTTCTTGCCAAATATTCAGAGATCCATTTTATAGTGCAGTTTTTCTACAGACAAAGGTTTATAGTCAGGCCAGCAATCCGCTACAGACCACGTTTTTTTTTTTTTTTTAAATAGAAGAACATTTAAATTAAATCAGTAGTTTACAAATCATTAAATCATTTGCGACGCCAGAAGAAAACAAAGTGAGAACGCCTGAGACCAACTCTGTGATAAAACATTGATGACCAGTGATCAAAGAAGCCAGAGAGTTAGGATTGGATTCCATCCTCCATATCGAAAGTGGCAAAGGATGCAGTGGAATAAAGTAACCGTTTGCCACGTGCTCTATATGATGCGTAAGCGGCACAACACAATGATGAAGATTCTACCACACACTTCTTCTTCTTCACATACACCGGTTGTAAACTCCAGTGAAAAGTTCT